TCCCTCACTCTCACTTCCTTCCGCCACGCTCAACACACTCTTCTCTCCTCTGTGCACCCCCGACCCCTACAACCCCTACCTCCCCCCCTTTCACCTCCCTACCCCCCTTTTTTTTTTTTCCTTTATTTATTTTTCGCTTTCCTATTCCCTTCTTCAACGCCCTTGCTACTTTGTTCTCCCTTTCCACCGCTCTCACCTCGTTTCCCCCCCTCCCTCACCTAGTTCCCCTCCCCCCTCCACCTATCCACTTCGTTCCCCTCCCCTCCTCACCGACTCGCGCCCACCTCCCCCTACGATTAACACATCCCACTCGTCCTCATCCGACCCCGATACTACCCTCCGCCTTCAACCTAAGTCCCCTTCAGTCCTAACTTCCCTCACCCCGCCCGTAATACCCCGCCCCCCTGGCTTGGCGTTATTTATTCTCTCCCCGACAACGGACGACGCTGTCGCGTTCCTTTTCCTCGAAAATCGGACCTGAGCACCATATCTCGCTCCTTTTTCCCGCCACTGCACACTCTCCACCCTGTTCACCGCCGACCTCATCAGCGCTCAGCCCACTTATTTCTCTAGTACTTCCCGAAACACGCAACAGCTAAATCCCCGCCTATCCTGTTCGATCCCGCGATCTCTCTTCATAGTTATGCGGAGCTAATTGCAGTCCGATAACTTCCCCTGGAATTCTCTCCTCCACTCGTCAAGCGCACTTCGCATCGTCGAGCCAGCCTCCCCACATCTCTACGAGAAGCCACTCCCCACTAGTTCCCTCCAGGCTTTCCACTATGGAGCCCGAACATCCCCATAGCGAGGCCCGTACCACACCCGACATCGAATCTGCCGACGAGGAAATTCAAAAACTGCAAGGCATGATGAAAGGGTGGTACATCGACAATATCTCTCAGGATGTCTCTGCGTATGTGAAAGCAAAAATTAATGAAGATGACGACTGCATAGAGGTACGCCCCTCAGAAAACCTTCAGAAAGTTCAAAACGACTTTCTCAAGAAAATGACAGTCGCTATCGTGTTTCAGGGAGAGACTAAGAACTGGTCCAATGACAAAAAAGTGGATCTGATCCGCTTCCTAGAGGATTCTGTTCTAACCGAGGAGGAATTACAGACATAGAAAGGGACCACACACATGGAGGGTAGGGGTTAGATGACTTACCTGGCAAAGAGCATGAAAGTCGTTGAGTGGCTAATTCAGACCAAAAAGGAAATGGAATTTAAAGAGGGTAACAAATGACACTTCGTTTTCTTTCGCCCCTGGCTCCCCAGAACTGAATGGCAATTGAAACAGGAGGAGGAAAAGAAGAACAACTACTGGGTAATGGCCATGCGGTTCCCAATTGCTGCCTCCCTGTTCATCAGAACAACTCCGGAAGCCACCATGGGGAAGATCGTAAATCAGTTTGACCCCATCGGGGATCCGGAAGATCCCAAGCTGGGCGATTTGAAGTACCAGCTTCACCACTGTGGTGGCAGAGGTGCACCTTGACTATGGAAAAAGTACGGGTGGACAGCTCAGAGATTACAGAACAAATCCGACAGCTGGTCCATTTCGAGCTTACACGTAAATGGCTGGACACAAAGTCTCAACTGGACCTGCTAAAACAAGCAGGAGATGCTAGAAGACAGGTTACAACATTCTGCTCTGATTGGGTAGGAGGGGAAGAAGAAGGATGGATTGCGAAAGTGGAGTGGAGTGGCGATAATGGAGACGGAATGCAAAATCTGGAAGAAGTAAGGGATTATAAGTTAGTCTTTAAGGATTGGACAAACATTGAATCTTCATTCCCATTACGCCCCCCCTCCGACTTCCCGGACCCCTTTCCACCCCATACTTTGTCACTGACAGAAATCGTATCCTGAATGAAGGTGGCATCCATGCATCTGGTGAAGTTCCTCCCTAGAGGCCCCTAGGGGAAAATTCTCGCACCATGCAACGACATGCTGTGTATCTTTTTTACGGAGAACGGGAAAAATTGAATGCGTGTTCATCCGTTTAACGGCCCCCTGACCCCCGTTAAATCGCGTTAAACGCAAAAACGGGGGTGTCGCATCGAATTCGGAAAAACGGAATTCGCGCGTTGGGCTTCGGACACGTGTACCTACGTGCCCGAA